AAAACTCACCAATGAGAAGCAATCAGCAAAACCAAGGTTATCAAACAATAAAACCTCGAAGTACAGCAATTATCTCAAACTCTACCACCCAAACCCTCAGCTCTCATGACCTTCCAGCTTTGCAGGGTGCACGTGGGTGAAACCACTTGAATACTGATAATTTTTCAATGTCATCCCACAGCCCTTGTTTACTCCCTGACAGAGATAAGTTACCTCACAGCTCTCTGAGGCAGAATCAGTAATTACGAATGTAATTTGCTTTGGGCACCCCAGGGAACACAGGGAGCTCCCTGGGGTTTGACTCCTGCCCACTGTGAGCCAGGGGAAGCTGCCTGGAGAGAGGAACTTGGGCTGCCCATCCCTGCACTGAGGATGAGGAGGAGTTACAGCATGAGTAAAAGCAGTGAGGATGAGGAGGAGTCACACCCCAAGTAGGAGCACTGAGGGTGAGGAGGAGTCAGACCCTGAGGAGGAGCAGGGAGGATGAGGAGGAGCAGTGAGGATGAGGAGGAGTTACGCCCTGAGGAGGAGCAGTGTGAGGATGAGGTGGAGTTATACCCTGAGTAAAAGCAGTGAGGGTGTGGTGGAGCAGTGAGGATGAGGAGGAGTCAGACCCTGAGGAGGAGCAGTGAGGATGAGGAGGAGTTACACCCCAAGTAGGAGCACTGAGGGTGAGGAGGAGCCACACCCTGAGGAGGAGCAGGGAGGATGAGGAGGAGCAGTGTGAGGATGAGGAAGAGTCATACCTTGAGGAGAGCAGTGAGGGTGAGGAGGAGCAGGGAGGATGAGGAGGAGTTACACCCCAAACAGAAACACTGAGGGTGAGGAGGAGTCACACCCTGAGGAGGAGCAGGGAGGATGAGATGGAGTTACACCCTGAGTAAAAGGAGTGAGGCTAAGGAGGAGCAGGGAGGCTGAGGAGGAGTAGGGAGGATGAGGAGGAGCAGGGAGGATGAGGAGGAGGAGCGAGGATGAGGAGAAGTCACACCCTGAGGAGGAGCAGAGCTCACAGGAGCAGTGAGGATGAGGAGGAGTCACCGTGAGGAGGAGCAGAGCTCACAGGAGCAGTTCAGGACACTTTGTGGGACATTCATGGGATCCCAGGCTGGTTTGGGTTAAGGGCCCTCACAGCTCTCTTCATTCACTCCAGGCCCTGCCATGGCTGGAGCACCTTCCACTAGGCCAGGCTGCTGTAAGCCCGGCCTGGAACATTCCCAGGGGAATCCACAGCCTGTCCCACGGCCCCACCACCCTCGGAGTGAAGGATTTCCTCCCATGGTCCCATCCAACCCCACTCTCAGCTTAAAGCCACCCCCTTGCCTCTGAGCCCAAACCTTCATGGAAAGCCTCTCCAGCCTCCCCAAGAGCTCCCTTCAAGGGGCTCTCAGCTCTCCCAGAGCCTTCTCTTCAGGCAGAGTTAATTCTGGTTAAATCTCCTATTCGTTATTTCCTATTTTCCTATTATTTCTTTATTATTGAACTTAAACCAAACAGCTGTCTGTGTTCTGTGCTGCAGAACACAGAGAGAAACATGTTGTAGTTAAAACTTATTTATACACAGTCTTTGCAGACATTTCAGATACATTTTGGAAGGAGGGGACACAGTTCTTGGATCTGCAATTCAAAGACCATTATCTCACCGGATTATTTTCTTGTTGATTAAAGTAAAAGGTAAGAGTTTAGCTAAATCTCCTTCCCTTTCTTTTTTCCTCATGATCTCTCACCTTTTCTTTCCTCATAAAGAGCTGGATTACTTTTATCAAATAAGTATTCTTAAAAACAATGATATCCATTCTATTTGCAAGGGTGGGAATTTAAGGAGACCTTTTCCTCCTGATTCTGACACTCTGCTATTGGATGGAGTTTTGGGAGTTTCATGAGACAAAACTACAGTTGTATTGGCAGGAGTAAAAATGGCCATGAATTGAATTTGCTGTCCAGCTGGTGACTAGGTCTAAAATGTCAGTTTGGGGATTTTAGAGTTCCTCTGAGCCTTTTCTTTCTCTTCTTTTGTTCTACAGTCTGGAAATGGGTGGGGGATCAAGTCTAGGAGCAGGCAGTTCTCCAGAGAGAGTCTGAAATGGTTCCAGTTTAGCAAAATAGAAACATTTTAGGGAATAATGTCATTTAAGGAATGAGTCTCATTTCAGAGAACTTTGCTGTAATTCAGACACCCCTTTTAAGTGAAGAAATGAGTGAGCTGCATAAAACAAGGAGGTTTTGTTCTGCTAAGCTGAGCTATTCTGTGGGTACCTCAGTCCAGGTTTGGGCTGTGATGATTTCAGCCTCAAGGTAATTTGAAAGAAGTTGGGTAGGCAAAATGCAGTTGAGTTATTTTGGCATGTTGAGGCAAAAATAAGAGACAGAAAAGCAGAATAGAAACCCAAGACCTTTGAAAATCCCAGTCTTTTGAAAGTAAAGTGTAATTAAGGACATAAGGATGATTTTAATTTCACACCAGGAAACACACTCTATAGCTTTTGTATTTTGGGGAATTATACATAAAATTATTAAGAAAATAAGACAGTGTAAATACCAAAGGACTGTGTTTTAAACTCCATGAAATTATAAATCTGAGAGAGGCCCTGTGGCTGGTAATGCCACATGTCACATGCACCCTCTGAAGGTTTAGTGTCACTCTCACACTGAGCAATTCCATTTTATTCCATTTTTGTGTTAAAAGTGCTCCTTTCCTCCTAGTCCCAGCTCCTCCCATCCACATGTACAGATTAAGGACAGTATGATGGAAGAAGGAGTTTGAATTGCAGGGTTTTTTCCTCCCAAAGTGAGCACAGATGCACTGAACCCCTTGGAACAGCTCTGGCTGGATAAGGCCACTCTGATCTGCTGCAGAAATTCTGTGACTCAGAGTAACACCTGGGATGAGTCCTCACTGCCAAATACTCCAGAGAGAGCATAAAAAATAAATAGGACAACTATTAAACAATTTTACAAATCAGGTGGGCTTTAATTTACTAATAGTTAATGCCTCTATAAATAAAAAAATCATGGGAGGAGGAAACTCTTCTTGAAAAATGCCATTTGTGCTAGAAGTGTGAACCCCTCAGAGGTTACCCCAGGGAGAAATTAGCCAAATGGGAAGTGAGGAGGGCATTGGGAGGGGAAGGGACATTGAGGATGAAGTAAAATAATTTGTGGAAAAAACCCAAAAACTTCATGGTGGAGGTCAGGGGAGAAAATACCCAAGCTTCCTTTTAGGGCCAGTTTGCAGGTTTAATAGAAAATTAATAAACTAATTGTTTAGTGGGAATCTAAGGAAATGCAAAGTCTGTGAGAAACAGACTGCCAGGTTTGGGGACATGGGAACAGGAGAAAGCGTGCAGATGGTGACAAACCCAAATGTGCAAGAACCCTGCAGTAAGTGGGGACCCAGAGCCAGGTGTGTGTCTGCATCAGAATCCTGCTCCTGAACACACAGACCAGGTTCATTTCATCATTTCCAGGCATTTTCCCTCTTTACACCTCTGCCATGTTCCTGGGAAAGTCAGAAAGCTGCACACAACAAAAGCTGATACTTGTTGGGATTTTTAGCAAATGAAGCCAAGCAGGGATCTGATTTCTGCTCATTTAAACTTTTGCCTGTGGCACAGCTAGAGGCTATTTCTGTAGGACATAATCCTAGCATGTCCCTCAGTATATACTCACTAACAGTATATTATGCTCTGGTATTTTGTTAGTAATATATTTAGCATTAAGAGATAGTTTTCTTTCTTAGAGGGTGAATATTATTCTATGTATATACGTCCTGTCTAATGTATCTTTAAGAAAAATGTAACTTAACAATATATATCTATTCTTACAATCTTCCTCTGCTAAACCACAAAAAAACCCCAAAATACAAAAAAAAAAACCAATGAGGTAAAACACGATTGAACAGAGTTTGTTTCATTGTTTGCATAACACCTTTTGTTCTCTCCTTTAAAATGAAATTAAAATAATACAAATTTTTGTTCCCAATGTGCCTCAAAGGTGCCACAATATTCAATGGAGATGTGTGTGAGCCACACAGTGTGGAAAGGAATGGGAAGGAATGGAAATTTTATTCCCCAGGTTGCATTTTCGACCTTATTCCTGTATGAAAACCTTTTTCCAGGGAAAAATTAATACACATACAGTTGAATGATCTTATTTCATCACTGGCATTATCTCAGGCAAATCACATTCTTCAAAGATCCACAGTGCATCTTTCCAGTAACAAAAATTCAGCTGGCTCTTTTAGGAACTCTGCCCCTCTTTGGCAGGTAAATGACACAGCAAAACACCTTGGAAGAAATCTATTTTTTTTTTTACTTTTGCCCCAGGAATTATTTTATTGCTGATTAAAACATTCCATGGCATCATGATTAGACCCAGCTCTTTACATTAATTGGCCTCCATGTGGGGCCTGATTTTGTGTCTCTGCAGCTGCACTGAGGGAAATTAAAATTTAGAACTCACTTGTGCACTGCACGAGTTGTTTGCTAACACAGAATGACAGCAAAGTGAATTTTTCAGCCCTTCCTTTCCCTGAGAGCCTGGGAACAAGATTGCTTTGGACCTCCTTCAAGCACTTAAATTTAACTTCTTACGTAAAATCTGACTGTTGTGAGGAAAGGCTGTTGCATATTCCTAAGGCATCTCTATAATTGCAAATATAAAATTAATCAGAGTAATAAAAAAAATCTAGCTTCAGGGTTAAATAAGGTGAATAATTGAGTGAGAAACACAGAGCCCTTAAAGCCTGCACTGCTGGCACACACTCCTGGGTGCGTTTATCATTCAGTTTGTCACCTGTAGGGGAAGGGATAACAAATCCAGGGAAAACACAGTCTTGGCTTTGGAGTGGGGCTTCCACAAAGGCTGCAAACTGTGCCTAGCACCTGCACAGCCAGGGCTGTAAATCCATGTGGGTCAGGTGAGGGTGGTGGGCACATCTGGGTGCCAGTCCAGTCTGAGTTTTGCAGAGCTGTAAATCCCTGTGGGCACAGAGTGGTGGGCACAGTTTGGTGCCAGTGCAGTTCCAGTTTTGCAGAGCTGTAAATCCCTTTGGATCAGATGAGTGTGGTGGGCACAGTTTGGTGCCAGTCCAGTCCCTGCATAGCCAGGGATGTAAATCCCTGTGGGTCAGGTGAGGGTGGTGGGCACATTTTGGTTTGGTGCCAGTCCAATCCCAGTTTTGCAGAGCTGTAAATCCCTGTGGGTCAGGTGAAGGTGGTGGGCACAGTCTGGTGCCAGTCCAGTGCCAGGGGCACCCCAGGGCTGGGCTCTGCAGCCCAGGTAAGGCAGGGCTGTGCCCAGCCAGGGCTGCTGCTCCTCCCTTGGGTCACTGCTCGCTCCTGGCCAGTGCAGGCGTGGCTGAGCTGGACAAATGTCCCTCCTTCCTCCTTCCAGCTGGACAAATGTCCCTCATTCCTCCTTCCACTGTCCTGGGGCTGCCTGGGCTCAGCAGGAGATCACCAGGGGGTTGGACAGGGACCGTGGGCTCTGTGCCTGCTCCAAGGGCTGCTTGTGCAAGAGTTCACAGGCTGCCAGCTCCTGCTGAAGGGTGTCCAGCACTTCCAACAGCTGGGCTTTGCCTTGGGAAAGCAAGTGGCAAACATGAGCATTTGAACAAAGTCAGCAAGTTGCAGTTTCACAATCATAACAGGCTCTTTTCTTCATAGGTGCCCATTCAAGTAATATCATTAAATGTCTAAATTTTGTGAACAAATAATGAATTCCTGTCCAAAAAAACTGTGAGTAAATCTGGGTTCAGCTGTCTTCTCTGGTTTCCTCTTGCTTCATCCCCTGCCCACTGAGGTCTCATGTACTTGTGTGAACGAAGACTTTCATATCACCATTGCCAACCCCACCCACTTTGGCTTGTCAGAGAAAAATGTTTCATTACAAAGACTTGGGAAAGAAAAATGTTTGATTACAAAGACTTGGAAAAGCGGCTGAAGCCTCCCCAGGTGCACAGGCAGACAGTGGGAAGCAGAGAAGGTGAGCTGTGCATGGCAGTGGTGATGCAGAATGCACAGAGAGCAGCACTTGGAGTTAAGGGGAGCTGAGCTGTGCTGCTCATACAAAGGGAGGAGCTTTGAGCAGCATCCCTTGGTATTATTGTCACTGCTAGTAATGAAGGGATGGGTCTTCTTTCAGGCTAGAAATGATTTATAGCTCAGACAAACATCAGTCTCAGGGGCTGTGATGTTTTAGAGGAGCAAGCATTCAGCCATAGCTCAAGAGCAGTCACAAGTTCTTTGTTCCAAGGCAATACAGGACTTTCTAACCCAATGACAGCTGCCACAGGTTTTATTTTGCTTTTCTAACCATCACCTTTACTCACTTCTGCTGCACTCTGGATGCTTTTGTCCAATGGCTTCTGTCTCACATGCACACAAATGCTTCTGTTATAATGCTGAACTCTCAGCTCACTCCAGACAACCCCAGCCCTACACTACAAACCCTTCACCATCTCAGCAGTACAGCTGCTCACTTACTTAAGGCATATTCTTACAACTATAGAACCATAAGTTTATGATTTTTCTGCTTAATATCTGTGTATTGAATTTGACATCAATCCAAGCTTCTTCCAAGGCTGCAGCTCAAACCCTTCAGCATCTGTGGAAGTTTCAAGTTTTCCAATTCCCACACCTTGGAGTCCCTGTTCCTGTGCAGGATAATTGACAGATAATTCTGGACACTGTGCTGTGGATCCAAAAAGTCTCTTCTTCAGTTCTCCCAGGAGAACATCACACCCATGGCTCAGCTGTGGTTTTCTCTCTGTATTGGTGTACTGGAGCCTACAAAAGTCTGTCTTTGCCCTCTTTTCTCTGCTTCCTCTGCAGCTGAAGAGCACAGCTTGGCTCTGGGCTGCCTGTGCCCTGGATTGCTGGGCACAAGGAAAAACAGCCTTTGAAACTGCAAACCCCAAAGGGTTCCCATGCTGTTCTCCCTAAATCCCTGTAAAAAATATTCTCCAAAACCCAGCCCCCAGGCCACATCTGGTCTTTTCTAATCGAGTCTTTGCTGCCTGCCTATTAAAGCCCCTCCAAGCCATGTTCCTGGGACAGGATGTTCATTCCTTGGAGGGAAGTACAAATGCTCTGCTAATAGGAACAAAGTAATCAAAGCAAAGCCCTGGGGCCGTGATCCCTGCACGGCTCCTGCAAAGGCAGCTCCACACCACAGGCAAGGACAGGAGCTTGCAAGTTTAATTTTCACACCAGGATCATGAAGTGCTGTTATTAGAGGAGTGCAGGTTTGAGCTGGTTTCTGCACAGAACTGCTCTGGTGGGTCAATCTTGTGTTGCAGCAGAGGAACCCAACACACTGGCGTAGCAAAGCTGAAAACAGCTGCATTACATACTTGGTCATTTCTCCACTTTCTCGTATCAATGAAACCCTAAAAATATTTGTAGGACACAATTATCCCCCTAAGGCCAAATTTTAATTAAATTTTCACTAAAAAAGCACCCTGGGTGTGGTTTTGATGCATCACAGACTAGAAAGCATCACTTTCTATAGGTATTCTTCTTGCAAGCTACCTCCTTCTCCCCACCCTGTACCCGAGGATTTGAAATATCCTTTTCCTACCCAGTGTTTGTCCCCAAAGGACTCTTTTCATGCTTCTTGGTCTTTAGATGTGATTTCTTTTCTTACCAGGCTGGGGGTCACAACAGGATTCCAAAGTGCTCAGCAGGATTTTCCCCAGGGCTCGCTTTGATATGTTCTGTAAAAAACAAAACAAAATTATGGCACCAATGTGTCCTTCACCAGCTCACAGATATGCAACAGAACCTGTGTGCAGAGTATTTGCATTTGGAAACGAAACCAAAATGCCACAGAATCCTGATTAACACAAGATTTGATATTTGCTTTATTTTCAAGCATTTGATCTTTGACCCTGCTGAGACAGTTTGTAGGGGATTGTAATTCCTTAATATGGCTGTGGAAAGAGAAATAACAATTATTCAGCAGGAAATACAGAATTTTCTAGAGCTTGTGCTTAAACAACTGTAGGTGGCAAGGAGGGTAAGCAGAGCAAAAGCTCTTTGAGTCCTCTGCCAGGTCTGTGGGAAGGTGAGCTGGACCTGGTGGTGTTATTTTAGGAAGGGTCTTCTCAGGCCCAGCTGAAGGACAGAACAAATGTCCTGTGGCAGGGCTGGATCTGAGATGTAGTAAACATTACCCAAAGTGAGAGCACTGTAAATACTACTCAGGATCTGGATGGGCTCTCTCAGTGGTGGTTTTACATATGAAATCTGGTGGGACATTACATAATGAGCCTGGGAAAGCAAACTGTCCTCATTTGCTGTGAAGACACTGGTGTGCTTTCTGGGAGATGGTCTTGCAATCAGTTTAATTAGCACTTAGACAGCCCTGAGTCTCTGCAGGGACAGGTGGTTCTTGCTAAAACTTCAAGAAGTGCAAGTGGAAGGGAGCAATTCTGGGAGAAAGATGCTGCTACCTCCAGGCACAGCTGGCCCTGCTCCCTGCCTGGAGCCCCCAGTGGGGACTGGGGCAGAGTGGGAAGCAGTGTGAGGATTTCACATGGCCTCAGCAGCACTGTGTGAGGTTTTATTAGCCCTGTCAGGATGTGTATGTGCCTTTGGGCAGTCACTGTTTGGTGGCAGGTTCTTTTGGGAATGAGATTTCAGACATGAAGGTGAATGTGCTGGGGAAGTGACACCTAAACCCACAGGTTCTGATGGGTCTCTTTTGTTTTGGGTATATCCCATCAGGGATTATGGGGATTCTTGTAAATTCCCCTGGCAGTTTTATCTCTTTAATGCTGACTCAGAGTTACATTAGCATGCAATTAAACAAAGGTCCTGTCCTAGAAGGAAAAATACATATTCTGGAATCTTCCTGATTGCTTACTCCTCTGTTTTCCTTGTTTGCCCTCAATTTTGGTTTAGAGGGTAATGAGCTTGAAGATTCAGCTCCAAGGAGACCTCTAGGCTTTTAGAAAGCAAGCAAAGGGGTCTGAAAGCTTTCTGCAGCCACCAGGCAGCTCCCAGGGCACACACCTGTAGAATCCTGTCCTGCTGTAAAGGATTCTGTACTTCCTAGAAGGGATGAACATATTCTCAGTTTGGAAGGGACTCCAAAGCCCAGTTTTCAGTCCCAGCACTGCTTTCTCACCATACCAAGCCTCGGAGCTGTTGGAGAAGCTGCAGAACATCCAGGAGCTTCTCTTCCACCAGGGACAGCCGAACCCTCTCTGTCTCCAGCATCTGCAGCTCCATCTTCAGCACTTCTGTCTCCTCCACCTTCTGCTGCAGCTCCCCGAGCCAGGGGCCCTTCATCTGCACAAAACACAGCAAACTGAAGGCACTGGAGCTTCTCCTCTCTTGCCCAAGCATTGCAAAGCTGAGTTTTCCCCCTTTTGTGGTAAATGGGGCTCACTCCAGAAGATTCCCTTGAAGGGAAGTCCATTTCTTTAATGTGCTACATGAAGAGAGGTATCAGGGGTTGTTAGGAAATCAGAGCTTTGCTCTTGTGCACGATGGGAGTTCATTCATCACTGGGTACAGGCAGCTCATTCAGGAATTTTAAATATTACATTTATTACATATTTTATACTTAAATACTAACATTGCTATGTCAGCTTTCTCCCCTTTTGCATTCCCGTTGTCATCTATAGAGCAAAACTAATTTGTGTGCCCTCAGCACAATCATTCTTTGTCTTGCAGCTCCTTCCTAGCAACCATCTGTACACTCAGTGAGACAGGAAGATGTCTCTGTCCCTGGTGAAGTGGGGACCAGGTGAGGAACACCAAGAGTAACAACCTCTCCTCTGTTTCTCCTTGCTTTTCTCCAGATGTTGGGATGAACTTCTCCTTTGACCCTGCATGGCAGTTCAAAAACTAATTGCCTTTTTAATTAAGCTGGCAGCTTGCATGTGAGCTCATATAGAAAATAATTGGCATTTCTTTGTAACACTACACTTGGCAGCATAACTCTTTATTTTTAGACTTTAGAACTCATGTTCTCCTCATCTATCATCCCCAGGTCACCACCCTGTCTTCATGAGGAGCTATTTATAAGATTTTGCCTCTTGGAAAGTAGAACTTTCTAGACATGACAAATCTCAGAACTCTCTCAAACTCTGGTTTTACAAGCCTCAGGTGGAGCAATTATTAATCACTATTTGAGAGTGCTGCCCTTCACTTGCCTGCTGAGGCTCTTGCTTGTTAGCCATGTTGTTATTTTCTGATTTTCCACACTGAGCAGGTACAAACAGAAGCAAATACAGCCATGTGTAAGGCACTTCTGCCAGCCTCAGAGGTGTTGGTGGTTTATTTATTACACCAATATATTTATTTGCAAGATGCTTGAGAGAGAGAGCATTTCTCAGTCTTCCTATTTGCTTTCTGTTGATTGCAAGGAGAGTCACATTTTTCACAGGAATTTTTTATTACTTGTCTGTTTTGTAGCAGCAAATTCCTCCCCTATAACTGCTGGCTAATATAAAAGGGCTTAAGAATAAATTTCCTAACAGGCTCAACATGATTCATCCTACTGCAATTTAATTCATGTCACATTGAGTTGGCACTGTGTCTTCTTCACCTCCCTGCTTGCCTCTAAATCAAGAACAACAGATTCCATTTTTCTTCTGGAATTTTGTATTAATCTGTTGATAATGGTGCTTTTCCAGACAAGCTGCACAGAACTAAAATCCATCAGCAGAGATGAAAAAGAGGGCAGTATGATGCTGCAGAAGATGATGAGCACCTCAGAATGGGGAAAAAGGAGAAGAAAACTGGCACTACCTGCAGGTATTTTTTTTCCTGTGGACTGATGCTAAGCAGTAGAGAAAGAACTTTTGTGTTTCTCTAAAGAATATTGCAAGGATAAATTGCCATTGAATATTTCAAATTGTGTAACGCTGAAACAGGATTTTATTCTGGCTTTAATTTTTTTTTCCCCAACAAGTAAGTTAGTCAAGGCAGAAAATGATATAAAACACTGTTAAAACACAAAGGATGGCAACATGTATAGAAGCTGAGTACTTTACTGTCACTTTAAATATTTCACTGATTCACAAAATCCTTCCAGAACTACTGGAAGCTTTCTGCTTTGTTAAGGATGGGGTATAAAATACTGAACAAGCACAGAAGAAAGACCAGGGCAATGCACTATTTTTGTTCCACAGAAAGATTGCTGGCACTTCTGTGCCCATCAGGGGCTGAAGTCTGCAGAATTTAAATAGTGAGCTCACACAGGACTGCTGGGACACAGCACTTTAAATAATGTGGTTATAACCTCTGCTCAAGGGGAGCTGGACATGCTGCAGAACTAATTTTATTCATATTTTATTATATTATATTTATATATTATATTTATGACGTAAGTATGTCAATCTAAGCCCAATAAAAAGACAGAGAGTAAATGGGACAATTTACTCCAAAACAAGGAGTCACAGCCAGCCTGAGGGATTTATTGAAAAGTTATCCATCTCCCAGAGGCGTTGGATGCCTGAGGATATGGGGAGTGCTTCATCCACAGCTGGAGAAGCTCAGTAAATCAAGGACAGTATTTGAAGGGCCTGGGGTACCTCTCATCCTCTAAAGGCTCTAAAGGCAATTTTAGGTAGGAACCAGAGTAGAAATGCAGGTGTTGGAGGAGGGCAGGAGATGTCTGAGCTGACAAACTACAGCACAACGAGAAACATCAGGAACAGAGGGCAGAATGGCCAGAATAAAACACAAACACACACAGATGCAGCTCCCCAAAGATGCATCAACAGCTCTTTCACACTGCTTGGCACCTGTTACCTCTTCCATGCTTGTTTCCAGTTTTCTCTCTTGGTGGCCCTTGAGTTCTGGCTGCTCTGTGAGGGGGGAGATTGTCCCCAAGAGCTCCACAGGGTCCTTTCCCTCAGTGCTGCTGGTCTCCAGGTAGGAGAGCAGCTTTCTCCACGTCTTTTCATCACATCTACACGCATTATTAAGAGAAAAGAGTTAGTGAGACCTCACAATAGAGGCCTGTGTTTGTTAAAACCAGTTTTCCTGTGGCATTCTTGGCAGCACAGGTCACAAACGAGTGTCTGACACTGGCCGAATACCATCTGTTTAGGAGATAACGTTTGGGTTTTTGATGGAGAGGCATAGCGTATGATGTGGACTATCCTACATTTCATGGACTGTCTGATGGGGCAGAGAGTGTGATGCATTACTATATACACCCTAAAAGCATGAAGAAAACATGCTGGGGGGGGAAGGGTAGAGTTAAGTGTTGCTGTAGTTAAATTTTGTAACAATAGTTTTTCAGGCCATAGATCTTGGAGAGAGGCCAAGTAGGAATTTATGACAGAATTTGTTTTATTTTTAGGGTTATGTTTTGTTTTAGGGGGTTGGCAGTTGCGTCTAACCCCTCCCCTTATTATGGGGTGTTGGGCCTGGTTGTAGGGGCAGTTGCAGGGTGTGGCTGGCTGGTAAGCTTGGGGGTTTCCTTTGTGTCTTTGGTGCTTGTTGTGGTTTATTTAGGGAGGGATGTTGGTAGTGTTTGTTTATTCAGTGTCGTTGGTGGCGGATCATTACCCAGAAGCCTGGGCCAATTGGGGTGTTGTTGGTTATGGCCTTGGGATGGGGGTGGTGGTGGTGGTGGGGCTTGCTATGGGGGGTGTGTTGGGGTTATTAGCAGACGAGGGGACAGTGAATAGTGGGGGTCTGTTGTCGGTCCGATCAGATTTTAGTGGGGTGGCTATGCTTTATTCAGAGGGGGTGGGATTGCTTTTGACTGGAGGGTGAGGATTGTTGTTGACTTTGTTTGTGGTGTTGGAGCTCATGCAGGGGCTGTCTCAGGGGGCGATTCGGGCTGTTTAGTCAAAGGGTCAGGGAGTAGTTTAGTTAAAAATGCCAGCTTTGGGAGTTGGAGATGAGGGTTTGAATCCTTTCTTCCTGAGACAGGGTGGTGGGGTAACTCTAAGAAAGGGTTTAGTCTTCAATCTTTGGCTTACAAGACCAATGTTTTTGTAAACTATTAGAGTTAATTAGAGTTTGAGTAGTTTATTTTCTAGGGCGGCTGCAAGGGGGAATAAAACCAGGATGATTGTGAAATAAGTGAATGAGGCTAGTTGGCCAGTGATGGTGAACGGGTGTTCTGCTGGTTGGCTGCCTACTCAGGTTAGAATGAGGACGTTAGCAACCAGGGTTCAGAAGAAGATTTGTGATAGAGGGCAGAAGGTTATCGATCACAGTTTTGATGTGTGTAGTAATGGAGAGAGGAACAGGATGAGGATTGAGGCAGCTAGGGCTAGTACGCCTCCTGGTTTGTTTGGGATGGATTGGAGAAAAGCGTAGGTGAATTGGAAGTATCATTTGGGTCTGATGTGGGGAGGGGGGACTAGTGGGTTCCCCAGTGTAAAGTTTTCTGGGTCTCCTAGGAGGCTGGGGGAGAATAGGGCCAGGGAGACGAGTAGGGAAAGTATTAGTACAAATCCTAGAATGTTTTTGATAGTGTGGTATGGGTAGAAGGGGATTTTGTCGCAGTCTGAGGGGATGCCTAGTGGGTTATTTGATCCTGTTTCATGGAGGAAGGGGGCTAATTAGGGCTTGGGGGCAATCTCTAGCCAGCTGCTCCCCATGTGCCACACAGGATGGGCACAAGGCTCCTGACTGCAGCCACAGGCTGTGAAATGACCTTTGCAAAGGGCTCAAATGGCATTAATTAAGGAATTAAACTTACCCACTGCCACAGCAAGGGAGCTTGGCCAGGATCCTCCTCCTGTGGCCCAGCTGGGGAGCGTGGTGCCCTGGCCACTGCTCCTCCTCCTCCTCGTCCGAGGCGGCCTGGCCCTCCACAGAGCGACAGAGCTGCTCCTCTGCTGGGAGACAGGCAGCCCTCAGCAGCACCCCAACAACCCAGTGTGATCTCATGGTTTGCCTCAGATACCTCAGGTTTCTCTCTGTAGATTTCCCCAGGTGTGCCAATCACCTCTCCTTTCCCCACCCTGACCTCTGCTGAGTGCTGTCTGTCAGTCCTGGCATTCCAGAAAGGGCATCGAGTGATTGGCAGAGTTCAAAAGAAGCCTTTCAGCCCTGGAGGACATTGGCCCATCCAAGTGTCATTTGTCCCCTGACACTCCCCCTCCTGTACCTGGCTGGTGGGATCCCTATCCCTTCCCTCTCCCCAGGGTTAAAAGGAACAGCAACCACTCTTCTCACTGGTTACAGCTGTGGCCTCTTAAAGTCAGGCCTGTTCCCAATCTTGGGTAATTGGCCCAGCTGCAACTTCTTAGGGGTGAGATTATTTTTTACACTATCTTTATTTTCATGGTTAGAGGAGTTCAGTGGCCTGTGTGCCAGGAATAAAGCTCTGGATCAAAACCATCTATCGGAACCGACTCCTTTCCTTCACCTCGCCTAAAGCCTCTCTGCCAGAGGTAAACCTGAGCTCCTGCAAGCCTGGACTTGCCTCCAAGCACCCAGCTGCAATATCCAGCTAGCCAGAGGTGTCTCTGAGGTGAAACCACCGCACATCCAGCCATCCAAAGGTGTCTCTGAGGTGAAACCACCGCACATCCAGCCACCCAAAGGTGTCTCTGAGGTGAAACCACCACACATCCAGCCAGCCAAAGGTGTCTCTGAGGTGAAGCCACCACAGCTTCTGCCTTTGGCCAAGCAGCAAGGGCCGGACAAGCACAGGCACAACCCATCTGGCTATATTGGTATATAATTCCATTACCTAGCTACACCCCCAGCCTGAGCCAGAACAAAGTGAGGGCCTGAAACCCCAGAGAAACCCCTGGGCAGGTGCCCAGCAGCCTGGGAAGGGGCTGAGGCAGTGTACAGTGTACTGGCTCTGCATGGGAGGCGTCTACAGAAGTGACACAAAACCACCACCGGCAGCTGCAGCCAAGATCCTTATTTTAAGAGTCTTGAACATTTCAGTGCTCTCTTGTGGGTAACTTGGAGCTGTTTACCTCAATTCTCTTTTTTCCTTGAGGTAAGGTAAGGATAAGTGGAAGGATCGGTTGTTGTGGGGACAATTACTGTTCAGAACATAGATTTTTTACTTGTTTATCTCTCTGAGTTAATTTTTCTGCCTAACAAATCGTATTCTACTTGATGGAACATTTTCCCCTGTTTTAGAATCTATGGCCCCATGATTTATTTGTATGAAAACATTTTGCTAAAAAGCTGCTTGTTCTTGAAATACAGGTAGTGTAATTTTATGTGGAAACTCTGAGCTGGCAAAGTGTGTGATTTGATAAAAACATTTGTAAAAGCAGGTTTGGTTTCTAAGTCTAGCCAGGTGAAGAACATGCTACAATGTTAATTGTATTTACTTGTCACTGTTTTTAACATTCCCAAGCAGCTGCTTGCCAGCTGCACTTAACACACACCTAAAATCCAATTTTTTGTCACAACAAACAGCTCTCCGGCCTGCACTAAAGGTGCCTTGTAATTCAGAATTATTGTCAGACAAGTGCTTTTGTGGTCTTTGAACTGGATGTGCCCAAAAAAATCAATCACTGCAGGGAAGCCAAAGTGTGCAGTGTTATGGCAGCTGTTGGGGCTACATGTGCTAAACAGTTTGGGCTTGTCCAGAGTCACTGGAGCAGCCAGGATGTTTCCAAGGAACGTGGCTGTACAGAATATTAACTGCAAATTGTTTCCTTGGAAATTATTTTCGCTGAGGTTCTGCATTTTTATTTACAAAGAAATGAAATCTTTATACTTTTTAAGCCAGGAAAAAAAGTTTTGGTGGGATGACTCATGTGGAAAAAAGCAGTTTTAAATCATAGCTCTAAGTGATAAGTTCAGTCTTTCATTAAACACAGAATTATGTGGGGAGCGAGGAGCGGAAATCTGGGCTATGAGGTTTTGCCTAGGTCCGGGATTTCAAGACTCTCTAGGACTGGTTAGTGGTGTGGTACCTTGACCTCTCTGGTGGTTTTGCTGCTGCTGCACCAGAGATGAGAGAGGCCAGGCAGTGTTTGGGGCTGGGGTGGGTACCGTGGTCGGTGGTGCCCGGCGGTGCCACGGACGCTCCGCGGGCGCCCCTGGGCACGGCTGCTGCCTCCTGCTCCTGATGCTGCTCCTGCTCCTGATGCTTCTGCTGCTGCTCAGGGCTGCTCTGCTGCTCCTGCTGCTGCTGCTGGGGGCTGCTCTGCTGGGCCAGCTGGCATCGCTCCAGTTCCGACCTGCAAAAGAGGCCAGAGGGTCAAAGCTGAGACGGAGACGGAGACAGACAAAGCAACACACTCCGTTTCCAGAAGGCTTCAAACCCTGTGTTTATTCTAGCATGCATGCCTATTCTACATTCTTACAAAGCTCATAACTTTACACTTGGCTCATTGGTCACAAGAGAGAAGCAAAGTGCTTCTTGGAATAGGCAGTTAATAGGCAGTCTATTGGAATAGGCAGTTGCAAGTTTCACTTATTTATCCTTCTTTCTTACTTGGTTTCTATGTCAAAAACCTTGGTAGGGAATTCTTTCAGGGGTAAACATGGATCCTCTTAGCAAACTCCTCAATGGCTCACAGAAGTTGCTGTAAAACCTCTTCCACACCAGAGTGAGGTTGGTGTGCAGGAAATTTGGAAAACCAAGATGTGCCCAGCATGGCTTTGGTGGGATGCAGCTGCTGGGACTGGATGAAGAACAGGGCCATCGACCCCAAGGGCTGCCTGAGATGACTTCCCTGACAGCCAAAGGAAGGTAGATTTCACCTTTCCTGTGATAAGAAGAGCTGAACAGTGCCTGTAACTTTTAGGTCAGGTCCAAGACCTCTAGGGAACATCTGTGGAGTGGTCACTGTGGCCACAGGGACCTGCACCCAATCCCATGGGCTCAGACATGGCAGGGAGTTGGATCCAGGTCTTGTGAGTGATGGGATGAAGCAGAGTCAGAGCCTGAGCAGTCAAAAGGAATGATCCAGGAATGGTGGCACACCTGGAAGCCAGGGGCTTGCAGGTGAGGAGTGTCTCAGAATGGGTGTCATTGCTGACAGCCTCCTTTGGGATTGTCTTTGTCTGAGGTCAATGGCAGGACATCACACTTATGTGTTTCAAGGGAATGGCTTCCAAGGGATGGGACACAGATCAAATAATGTCACTGAGGAAAAGGAGTCCTCAAAGGTGCCAAATTCCCTCCAAATTCTTCTGTAGGTTAGTTTTGGTCTGGTAAATATTGAGTATTTCCTTTATTTAACACATTAAATAGCAAAAATGAGAGCTAAACCGCTTAGCAGGTGGGCTCTGCTGATACAAGTTGTATCATGTAAGCGTTCTGTGAAAATCCTGTGCTTCCTGCCAGGAGCTCCAGCTGCAGCTGGGAGGGGACTTTGGCTGCAGGGACAGAGCAGCCGAGGCCATGACCAGAACTGCAGAGCTTTTGTTTAACTCAGCTGCTCCTGAGGAGCCACACCAATGGTAGCTCCCTTATTGCCTGTGAAACCGTAAGGAGTAAACAAGATGATGAATTTAACCACAGTAGTCACTATTTGAAAACATCTGTAGGGGAGAAGCTGAGCTCAGCCTTGCTGAGAAACCAGCACTTGCTTTACCCCCTTGAGTAGGGCTGACTGCATTAAAAACTAATGACTTACTTCATTTGCAATTTATGGTGCTGTTCAGCTCAGCAACAACTGGATTTCCTGAAAGCCAAGGGAAACAGCAATCCCCACCATCAGTTCTGGAAAAAATAATTCTGGAGTGCACAAATAAAATGCACTGTAAAGCCTGAACATTCAGAGTGGGGGCTCTGAGAAGCATCACAGAGCTTCAGAGTTCTGGAGAGCAGCTGGAGGATATTCCCCTGCACAGGGATACTGCATTTTACCTTCCTGCAATGTGCTGATTTTCTGGTACTCTACAGGAATCCTTTACAATTTCTTGAGCACCACAGTTGGTGTCTGAGCAGATTGCTCTCAGTTTTGAGCTGCAGTATAATTCAGATTGCTTGGGTTTCAGATTCTAGAGTTAGTTCACATAACACAGATCTTGATATTTCAGTGAATATTTATTGCAATGGTTAAGATTTAACATATAAAACATGGAGAATTTTCAAGTATCATGGAAATCTTTTCCAGCAGGTGTAGAGGAGGAGCTGGAAGCAGGGATCCTCACTGCTTCTCAAACACAGGTTTAATTCTCTCCTCATTGCTATTCATACAGCATCAAATGGGTCTCCATAAATGAGAAGCAGAGTGAATAAACAGCACATTTGTTTGGGGCAAGGATCAGAGGGGGAAGGTTTGTGTGGGGTGAGCGTGGCAAGGCTTCCATGGAGACAGGGAAACAGCCCCCATTCATGGCAGAGCCTTTGTCCCCAGCACAATGGGCAGCAGCACTGCCGTGGGGAGAGTTTGCAAAGCACTGGACCTCAAAGTAATGTCCATGACTAATTGGCTTTTAATTGGCTCTGCTGTATTGTTATGGAAACATGGAGCTGCAGGAAAACCCACCTGCTTCTGGTGCTGAGCAAATCTTGGGCTTGAATAATTCCTGACTGGTCAGAAAATAACTCTGAGGAATTATTAACTTGTCATTCACAGACCTTTAACTGGTCTCTTTTAGAGACTTCCTTGGAGCAGATCAAACAGCTGTGTGTGTACATTGCCCTGAGTGTAGTTATACTCAGAGCTATGCTTTATTTTCAAAGTGTAGGATTTGTGTTTTTTAACCAAAATGAGGTGTGATTTTTATTTTTGTACTATTTTACCTAAGCTGTCAGAGTTCAGGGAACTCAGAATGGTTTCAGATTTGGCTTACTCCCTGTGGGAATTAGAGACTTCAGGTGTGCACATTTTGGAATTATTTATGACTATTCATTTGCAGCTGAGATTTTGTTTTCATGCTGGAGCTGAGTGTCTGTGTGGGTTTTCTGAATTCATCCCTCTCTGGCTGTAGCTGTGAGCTCCTCCCCAACAGAAATCCAATGAATGAACCTTCTGTGATCAATCCAGATGCTTCATCTCAGCTTTTAAATAGCTTTAAATATCTGTCAGGTATTAAAGATAAATGTTTAAAAACATTAATTTTTAGTGGCTATAATAAAGATCACTAAATATCCTGGCTTTATATGGGCAGTTCTAAAGCACAGTTATAACTTCAGCTCTAATGGTTACAGTTCTGGGAGGTTTCCAGTTTCTTGGCTGACGATTTTCATTTTCTTGCCAAAATCACCAGCCTCTAGAAAAAAATCACTGATGTTTTCTTGCAAACCTTTCCATCTCCCTGCATGTTGGGATGGTGCTGTCACACACAGCAGGGCTGTGCCTTGCTGTCCCTCCTGGGGTGGCTTTGAGCACTCTGGAGGCAGCCCCAACCTTTGTGCACCCATGATGGAACTGAGGGTGCACAATGATTGCTTGAGGTGTGCTTTGAGCCCACCCACAAGGAACAGCAACAGAGGCATGTGGGAGCAAACACAGCCTCACCCCAAATGCCCGTGCCAGAATTGCCTGGATACATTCTGTTTGTCCTTCCTGCTTTTCAAACTCACATTTCGAGAATTCCGTCTTTCCTGACTTGGATTTTACAGAAAGATGCTTGAAAGCCTACAATGAAAAAATGAATAACTAAAATCCTGTGGTGTTCTGAGCACTGACAGCCCTAACCAAGGCACTTGACATAAATCACTGAGGCCAGGGAAAGCAGAGCTGTGCTCCTGTGATCATTTCCTTGTGTAACAGCCCTCACCTCGTGTGTTCCTTCACGTAGACCTGTGCTGTTTAATCCCCAGGAATCCTTCCCTTATCTCCTGGGTGCTGCAGTGGATGGCAGTAAAAATCAAATGTCCAGGGAGCCTTTTAATGTCTTCAGAAGTGTTCTTCCTAACAGACTATTTAACAGCTGGGTGAAGATCCTGCAGAATTCCACTCAGAGCTCTTTCTGATGTCTGTAAAACTGCAGCTATCCCTGAGTGTGGCACAGACTGAGAGCTCCTGCTTACTGGCACGTAAATTCCTTCAGGATTTATTTCAGCACCTCCCAGATTTAGAGCCTCGTGGAACTGGAGTGACAGGAGAGAAGATGGCTCATTTAACAGCAAACACTGTGCCCTCAGCTGGCTGTGAGTTATTTCTGACAGGGTCTTCCTGAGTTTGGGAAAACCCGACAGGAATGTGTGAGGGAGGGGCTGTGAGCAGCTCTGCATCCGAGCTGGGTGTTTCTTAGGAGCTGTGCAAAGGGGTTTTGGTGCCTGCAGGTTCCCCAGGAGAGCTGAGCTGAGGTGTCAGAGCCAGCAGCTTCCACTCCTCAGATCCTGCATCAGGAAGCAACAGCAATTACCTCACCCTGTTTGCTGCTCTGCAAAAACATCCTCAGAGCTTCAGAGAGCTGCTCTCCACCAGAGACTCTGGAATTCTGCATGTTCCTTCAATCCCACCTCTGTGCCTGCTAGCTTGATGCCTTTAGAAAGTTTTAAAGTTTTCTGAGAGCAGCCTGTCCCTTGCCTTCTTGAAATATTGTTCTGGTAGGTGACTGAAAATTAACTCCTGAATTGATTCACAGAACTCAGAATGTTCTGAACTCCCAAGGCTCAATCTTAAGTGAATGGCCCATGGTTGGATCAAATCCACAATCTTGGCATTATTAACACCACGCTCTGAGCAACTGAGCCAATCTCAGGGTCAATTATGTTCCTTTGCAAATATTTATAAGTTATTTGCCAGTTCCTAAAGACCAGAAAATGCTGCCCAGTGATTCTGCATTTATTAGGATTCTGCAATTATTAGGATCCCATGCTTTGGCAGCAGTTATAGCAGCTTCTATTTTGTCTTTTGTTGCTGATATGGTTGAATAAGAAACATTATTGGGAGGTCAAAAGCCACTGGCAGGAGTGTAATGTGACCATTTTAGCTGCTCCCTGGGTGTAAGAACTGATTTCTGCCAGTGTTCAGCACTCTGGCTCATTTCCCTTCTCCATGCTGCACCTCTGCCTGTCTCAGCAGCACCTCCCATTTCTCCGATGAGCCCCAGCCCAAGCAGGTTTGCACTGCATTAATCAACAAAGTCACTTAAACTTAGATCTGAGTTTAAATTTACATAGACTCTTTCCTAGCAGAACACTTAGGTGCATCATTTTAGCCAATTATGACACCTTATTGACATAAACTCAGTTTAATTAGAGTTTAGCTCTAATTATGTGGCTGCACTGCAGAGCTACTAAATGAGGTGAAGGAGAGAGTTGGTCATAGTA